AGGCATTTTAAAAAAAAAAAAAAAAAAAAAGAGAGAGGGGCTAAGGACATCTTGCAAGTGTCCTCTTTTCTGCTGCTTTTGCACACTTCTCTTTAGTGAGATTTTTTTTCTTTCCTCTGGTTTAATGAGCTGAATCAGCTTGGTAAACAATCAGCTGAGTGCCACAGCCACCATAAATGAGAAGCAGGATTGCAGAGCCAGGAGACGGGTAGGAAAGAGGAGAGGAGGAATGTAAAGAGTAGAGCCAACTCTATCAGTGACAGCAAGCTGTGAGATCAGCTTAGTCTGCCTTCCCTAACTCCACCCTTTGGGCCAAATCTAGCTGCTTAACAGCAGCACAGAATTCATCGCTCAAGAGGAGGAAGGACAAATGAAGTTGCTGCTCCAGAGATTATGTGACCTTCTTACTCTCAGTACAGTTAATTCAGTTTTGGGTGCCAGAAAGGAAAAGGTACAAAGGACAGATAAGGTAGAGCGAGAGCGTAAGCATGTCTGCGTGTGCGAGTATCAGTCATTTCACAAGTATGAAGGGGTGACAAGTGAAGCCCAGCTGGTAAGATGTAATGGCTTGAATAGAATATTCCACCAGGAAGAGCCACTGACTTCAGGCCAAAACTGTGACTCCATATCTACTTATTCCATATTAGTAAGTGTTATATAGTATTTAATTTTCAAAGCACATTTGAAAATTGCTTGGGAAATCCATCTCTTGTGTTCCAGCCCTACTGCTGACCCAGTGTAACTACAGCGCAAAATGTTCTTTACAGCTAACAAAACTAAACTTAACAGTTTCATGAAGGACAGAACATGGTTAACTTTTCCATTTCAATCTTGGGTGTCACTGCTCAAAAAAGATGTCGTTACTCATTACAATGACAAACAAAATGTAAATACTTACATATTTCCTGCATACTCTTTTGAAGGCTTTGAAGAAACTGTAACATTTTTCTCAAAGTAGAAAAAGGAAAAATAAAAACTTAGCAGTTGATAAAGAGTTGTCAACTAATTTCTAAAGGAAAACAGTTTTAAACACTTTTTGCAACAAAATGTATTTAATAAAAATAACTTTATAAACAATATTATCTAACATTTTCTTACTGAAACTTTTATCACTCTCCATCCTGAAGTATCTTGACTGTATGATAAAATTTTTTCTGAAACTTCATCCGTAATTTTCTTATAGTCCATTTATCTGTAGAGATTTAAAAGCAATTTGCTAGTATACGATAAAAGCATTCCTTAAAGAGCAAAAAACATAGGGCTCGTTCCTGTATTCTTTCCACATGCTTTAGTATATGTTAACTGAGTATTTCTATCAAATGAACTTTTTATTCATCATATTAAATTTCAGAAAAAGACGGTCTTTATTTAAACAAAATTCTGTAATTGACTTCCAGTCTGGACTACTGAGAAGTAGCTGTTGGTGCGGATCTTGAGAATGAATTACAGCATCTAGTGAGACACACCGTTCACTCCATATTAAATCCATCTTTACTCCACATTAGAACTTCCCCTCTTTACACAGTTTATCACCTGAGAGTCTGATTCTGCAATGATTTGCTGAAGTCATTAGATTAGTAGCCATCTTATGTAGTTAAAACACGAGGCTCAAACAACTGAAGAGAGAATTTTCTTACACCAGAGCTTTATGCAACTGTCATTACAGGCTGCGCTACTGTGGAAACCCTTTGGCAAGCGAGAGGCCTGGCTCTAGCAATAGCGCAGCAGCAAGGCTATAGAAGCCACCCTTAGTGAGCCGCCCTCCGCTCAGCCCTTTCCAGCCCAACCCAGCCCTCCCCAACGCTGTTATCTCCCGTGTGCTGGAGCTCCCCGCCTCTTCACCCCTTCTGCCCCCAACACGTGCAGTATCGCTCAGGGAGCTCTTTCTGACAAGAATATCAGCTGTGCTTCTCAGGCCGATAGCGCTGAACACTCCCGGACCAGTCTCTCACACAACCTTAACTTCATACCTAAACCTTTAAGGGGCTGTCCCGTGTAACGGGTTGCACAGACTTTTCCAGAGCCACCTCAGTGACATCCTGTGGAATTTAGCCAGGTGTTCGGCTTGTGCCCCCTAAGGAGGGGCGCCCGCCGAGGGCTAGGGCGGAGCGCATCGCACACCCTCAGCCGGGCACGAATTCGCGGCGCCTCCGGCGGGGTGGTGGGCTGGGCCGGCCGGGCCCACCAGCACACGCAGCCCCCGCACCCAGCTCGGGGAGCGCTGACAGGCGAAGCCGAGCGATGAGAACGCGGCGGAGCCGAAGGCCTGGCCGACGAGACCCCCATCCTCCGCGG